TACCACTGGCGGGATGCTTACAGCGTTCAGCTTTTATTTATCCCCTCCCCCCAGACTGACTGATGTGGCTGTCCAAAGAGGCTCCCTGTGCTCATTCATCCAAAGTAGGGGCAACCTAATACAGGAGGTGTTACTGGCCAGATCACCAGGTGAAAACGGGGAAAAAGCCTAAAGAAGAATACTAATGCAGCCACCACATCTAAGGATTGGTTAGCTGCAATATATTACATTTTTAGTTTTGGGTATAATACTGCTGTAAAGTGGTAATAAAGGCTGAAGGTTTTTTAACTTCATGCATTCTATGCATGAAGGCCAAAACCTTGTGGGTGCAGCTTAACCCCCCCCCCCCCCCCCCCCCCACTCCCCAGACTTACCTGAGCCCCATCTCGATCCAGCGATGCACACAGCAGCCTCAGCTGTTCTTGGACTCTTAACCTCTTTGGCTCACGCAGTGGTGGGAGTAATTGGCTCTTGCTGCTGTCAATCACAGCCAGTGAGCCAATGAAGAGAGCGGGAATGGGGCCGAGCAATGCTCTGTGTGTGTGAATGGACAATATCCATTCACAGATGTGCGGTTCAGGAGTGAGCCTGCTCGAGTGCCCCCATGGCAAGAAGCTTGCTGTCGTGGGCACTTGGGGGGGTAGGGGGGCAAGACCGCCTGGGGGGAGAGTAGGGGCAAAAAGGAGAGGATTAGGGCTCCTCTGTGCCTACACACAGCTGGTAAGAATATGATTGTTTTTTGCCTTTAGGCCCGATTCACACCTATGTAGTTTGCGTTTGATCCATCTTTGCATTTCACTTTGCGTTTTTACACACCCAGTTTTTTTTTTTTTTTGCTGACCTTTAACCGCCATTTTGCGTTTTTTTTGTTTTTTTTCTTTCGTTAAATGGGGTATGTTTTGTTACTCAGCAGAATAAAAATGCAAAATGCAGCAAAAACACACTACGCTGTGTTTCAGCAGCATCTCCTTTGAACTCTATTGTAGCAAAAACGCTGCTTTCTGAATTTAAAAAAGTCCCTTTCCAAAGACGCGGCAGCTGAAAAATGCATAGATGTGAACCTTTCCCATAGGAAACCATGTTAAATGGACTGTAGTGCATTTCTGCAAAAAGCAATAAAAAAATACATCGGTGTGAACTAGGCCTTAGAATCACTTTACCCCCTATATGTAACCCACAAGGAGAAATACTTGGCTTCCTCTTTTGAGCCTAACTGCATCCTTGCTTGGGCCAAAATAATTTTTTAAAAACGGTTTCCTTTACTAATTTTTGTTTCCGTGGTCAGTGCTATAAATTGCATTGTAGCATCAGCTATATGCAGCATGCAGCATGCAGCACTGTGTTCTGGCAGCGGTACTGGACTTCTGCCAGAACAGAATTGAGTCGGGATGAGTTTTTCTCTGGTATTCGTGGGGAGCATTGTATTTCTATCAGTGAATACAAGGCTTCCTCTCATTAGCTGAGGTGGCGATTGTGACACCATCCATCCACTTTTCCACAGCAGCCAATCAGCGTAGCCCTTTTATCCTTTAAAAAAAAAAAAAAAAGCTTACCTGCAAATGGCCGAGAAGGACACATCTCTGCTCCATTTTGTTTTTTTATTATTATTATACAGGATTTCTATAGCACCAACAGTTTGCTCAGCACTTTACAATATAACGGGAGACAATACAGCAACAATAAAGTTCAATACAAGAGGGAAAGGAGGGCCCTGCTCCTTGGAGCTTACAATCTAGGACGTTTTGGCAGCATAATGAAAGTCCCTGCACTGCTGTGTGAACACGGCACTCCATACTCTATGTAGCTGGTGCTACAGTAGTTTTATACAGCACTGACAGCAGCCACAGCAGTTAGTAAAGGAAATAATATTTAGGTCCAGCTTGGCCCAAATGAAAGAGAAAAGAAGGAGTTAGGTTTTATTCCAGTAAACATGAATAATTTTTACCGCACCCCATCCATAGGCAGGATGGTCTGCGTGTTAATAATCTGCTGCTGGATGTTGAACATCTCCATAGATTAGTTTTCTTAAGATCGATGTTAAACTTAATGTGACCACATAACAGAAATCCTACCATTAAAACATAACCTAGTTTCCTCATTTATTGTTTATAAAGTAAATTGTAAACACTGATATTAACATGTTTCCATGTTGGGAGAACTTGTGCCTGCTAAGTCTGGTTTTAGGTTTATGGATAGGGTCAGTTAGGTTTATAGGTGGGCAGCATGAATGCACACAGATGCGATTTGTTTCCATGTATTTTGATGTGATTATTTTAAGGTCTAGTATTGTCTGTCGGTGTAATTTAGACGACAAGCAAGCCAGTTGTAGACTTGTTATGGGATGATTAGTGCTGTGATATGTTCTGCTGCATTTGTGGTGGGTACATGCTTAAGCCTAAAAGACTCGCTGTGATTGGTATTAAGAGAAGAGGCAAAAAAAGAAAACCATAAACAAAAACTTACATACTCACCTAGGCGAATGCACCATCGATCTGATGTTGCATCTGTTCCCCAAGCTGAGAACCGAGCATTCAAAGGCCCCTAATTGCTCGATCAGACTCTGGCTCTCTCCTCTGCCACCAGGCTGTGGAGGGGGCAGGAGTGGCTGGCTCAGGCTCTCAGTAGCCCCTTGAGATGCTGAGCCGGATGCCAGTGAGGAATCTGGGTGGATCCCATGGCCTGGGTCCTAATATTTGTTGTGCAAGATGTGCTGTTGACCTAAGAGCTTGGTTTAGAGGAACTCGAAAGTCAATGTTGCCTTCTCTCCTAGTGATATGGTGAGGACAGAATGATCATGTGACAAACTGTCTGACGCTCTGGTTTCTTTGCTAGGAATTAAAAAAAAAAAAAAAACACCCTGGTCAGGGATGTAGTTTGTCAAAACCAGAACTTCAGTTCAAAACTTCAAAGACGGTGTTTGCTGTTGTGACACAAAAATTTCTTTCAAACTTTTAACTTGTGAATTCCATATCTGAAGTACAGTAAAAGATAAAAATTCCTCTGTCCCCTTTTTCTCACTGTTTTCTAAAAAAACGGGCGTCCCGCAGAGTGGTTGGGGTTATGAGGGTGCACTGGGAGGTTCCCTTAGTAATAGTCTTTATCACTATCCAGAATCACATGTCTGCACTCTGTTCTTTTACTTGCTGCAGCTTCTGGAAGTATATAAATCTGATTAGCTGACTGTCATATGGAAGTGGTCTGGCAGCTGCTGATGGAATCGCACATCCCCGTAACTGTACCACTATCTTTTATCTCCACAACATCTCAAATACGTCCGTTCCTAACCCCAGACACTACTAAACAACTCATTCACTCCCTTATTATCTCACGACTCGACTACTGCAACTCCCTTCTCACCGGCCTACCTCATCACAGACTATCCCTGCTTCAGTCTATCCTGAACTCGGCAGCCAGACTCATCCACCTTACTAATCGCTCCAAATCTGCCACCCCCCTCTGTCATTCCCTCCACTGGCTTCCGATTGCCCAACACATTAAATTCAAACTACTAACATTAACGTACAAAGCTATTCATAACACTGCCCCAAACTACCTCACCGACCTGATACCCAAATACCGCCCAACACGTACTCTTCACTACCCAATCCATCAGACTGTCCCCTACCCTCCTCACATTTAGGCACACCCTGAAAACCCAACTCTTCTACCCCACTCCTCATCTCCTCCACTCCTCACTACCACACTCCATCCATCCCCCACAGCCATTTCCTCCTGTACCACTACCCCCTCCCTCCTAGATTGTAAGTTCCAAGGAGCAGGGCCCTCGAACCCCTCGTGTATTGTTACTGTATTGTCTCATGTACTGTCTCCCTCTATAATGTACAGTGCTGAGCAAACTTTTTGGTGCTATATAAATACTGTATAATAATATGATGAAAAAAGTTTATTGAAAAAATAAAGTGTAAAAAAATGAGTTACACAACCAAGCTCTTAAATCCCCCCCCCCCCCCCCCCCCCCCCCCCCCCCCCCGATAATATGGAGTACCCTTATACACGTGTATGAATGTTAATTCACGCATCAAAACATTTTGAGTTCTGTACACGTTACGTATCGCATATTCGTGCAAGCGCCAGAGTGCGAACCAAAATTCTAGGCCCCACTACTCACGTTTTACCTCTAAACTATTGACCTGTAGGGACTTTTAAAACATCACCTTTAGAAAATAGAGTACCTAAGTTTGTCGCTGCTTGACGGTGCACACAGTTTTAGTGGCATTTGGTTAACTTAGCTCAACCTTATCTTTTTATAGTATACCAAAAAATTGGGTAATATTCCATTTATAGTATAATTGACTTTAGTGTACTTTAGTATAATTTTTGTGTCTTGTAAACTATTGTACAAATATTGTGTAACGCGAAAAATTGGAACTACAAGGATTTATTTTCTAGGGCAGCCTTTTTCAACCAGGGTGCATTTTGGGTTCTTCCAGGGTTCCTTGGCAAATACCTAAAAAATCTACCCAAATTACACAAACATTGTCCGCAAGCTGGCAGATGGTTCAAGCCTGCATTTGTTTTTGTTACACAAAGCCACTGGTTTTTATTGTGAAACGTTACAACTTGGGGCACAGTGTGGACCACTGGCTTCCTAACAACTGATGACGTTGTTGGCTTATAAGTCGGATGATGGGTGCCTGCACAGAATTCTTGTTTGCTAATGTGATACCGCTTCTGTTGGAAAGGGGCAGGAGAGGGGCAAAGTGAGGGAGAACAACAGAGAAGAGAAACGCAGGAATACTTGTACCAGCATGCAAAGGTATATTTGCTTTGTAAGAATGAATTACCTAAGATGTTGGGAATCCTACATGTGTGGATGCTGCATGTCAAACTGTTTATTTTTTTTTTTACATTTTAGAATGGGGCATCTCGAGGTTGTCCTAAAGTTTCCCTACCTGCACACTTCTTTTTTTTTTTTTTTTTTTTTTTTTCCCACTTGCTACACTTTGTATGACTTGAGACATTTTTGTTTTCTCCTGTAGCGATCGACTCAAGCAAACAGTGTTCCCAAGACATCCTGCGTATGCTTCTTTCATTGCAACCTGTTCTGCAGGACGCAGTTCAGAAAAAGCGGACTGTGCGATCTTGGGGAGTGCAAGGGCCTTTAACATGGCAACAGTTTCACAAAATGGCTGGCCGTGGGTCATATGGTAAGAATGTTATTTTTTTTTTTCTTTTCCCCCCCAGTGGTACAGAGTTGTTTTATGTGGAACCGTTAGCCCCGCACATTGGTTAAAGCAGTAGTAAAGTCAGCTTAAGAAAAAAATGCCCCCTTGAAAGTTTTGGTCATAATGTACTAATATCCCCAACATACTAGTATATTCTGAGAGACTTGCCTACAAACGAAGCCCTTCAGCGCTAGACTGTCATGCCCCCTTCATTACTTGCTGACAGGCGGGGAGGATGGGGGCCTTTATGACAGAAGGGTCTCTTCTGTTGTAAAAACCCTGCCTGTCAGCGTATTTTTTTTCAGTAGAAAGTTTACTATCACTTTAAAATGCACCAGACAATGGCAGAAGCTTGGATACCGCCAAAGCATATAAAGCTGCAGAATGCATTTCAAACTTTTGGTGTTACTACTCAAATTGCAATACTTTATTTAATATAAAAATCATTAACATTCAGTAAATTGTAAGTTTTCAGTAACTTTTGATCTTGTTTTCTTAGGAACGGATGAATCCCCAGAACCACTGCCAATTCCTACATTTCTGGTAGGGTATGACTATGATTTTCTGGTGCTTTTCTCCATTTGCTTTGCCTTACTGGGAAAGACTCATGCTGGAGCCATATGGTTCTCAACGAGATATTGCTTATGTAGTGGTGTGCCCAGAAAACGAGGCTCTCTTAAATGGCGCCAAAAGCTTTTTTCGGGATCTCACTGCAATGTACGAGGTAAGAAAAGTGCACCGAATAACTTGCATTTATAAAGTAGCAACATAATTTGCAAAATAGTACAACAAACGGGTCAATATATTTCCACTACAGTACAAAGGTAACCACTTATTGCTGTAGTGTTTATGCAGACATCCATTAGCGTGTTAATTTCTACTGCTGTATTTTTTCCTGCTGTTTAATTCACGTACGGTGTCTTTTAGTCTTGTAGGCTTGGACAGCATCGTGCAATTTCCAAACAACTAACAGATGGCATTATGCGAGTTGGGGCCAATGCAGCAAAAAATGTTTCAGAAAAGTCAGTTACAGAATGGTTTTCTCAGGCAGCTAATGGCAACAATGAAGCATTCACCAAACTGCGACTGTATGCTCAAGTGTGCAAATATGAACTAGGTATAGTCTTTTTTGCCTTTGTCTGTTTAACAAATGTGTTTTTAACTGTTACATATATACCATTTTTTCATCATCAGACCTTTAATACTACATGCAGTGTGTTTTACTGATATTTACAGATATGATGTATGGTAAATATTAATGATTAATATTCTTCTTTAGGTCCATACCTTGCCTCTCAACCACTGGACAACTCTTTACTCTGCCAACCCAACCATGCACCCTCTATTACCCAGGCAGCATCCTCACAGCCAACCCCACCAGTGAGCACTGGTAACCCAAGCACTCCTTCCTCCTTGACCCCTGCTCCAACAACTAACTCAGCAGCAGCAACGCCAAACAATAGTACTTTTTGCCTTCTGCACCTGCAACAGGCCTCCCTGCTCCTACTACTGTGGCTAATTCCATAACTGGAAACAAAAGCAGCAGCTTTCCTCCCTATGGGAGCCTGAATAACAACAGCAGTTCAATCCCAGCACCGGTTACCTCTGCTCAGAACAATCAAGCAGGGCAGCAGCCACAGAGCATGCAACAAACCACTGGAGTGACAAGTGAACAGGCTGCAGCTGCTGCTGCTGCAGCTGCAACTGAGGTAACAGAAAGGTAAGCCTCAAATTGCTTTTCTGATTTTATACATTCTCAGCTATGTTGTAGCTTGTTAAATGGTTACTTTGTTAGTATAAGAATAGCACCTGTCTTTCTTTATCAAACATCTTGGGACACACACAGCATATTCATAGCCATATCATGGGGCTATGCTGCCACCTTCAGGTGATTGGACACTGGCAAAAAGACAGGAAGCCCCCTTCCAGGAATCAACTCTCCCAGTTAGGCAAGGCTTCAGTGTTTTTTTTTTTTTGATGGACATATCTGTGCAGCTTTCCTCACAAAAGTAGTTTGGTTCCCAACAGTTCCATCTGGGATCAGAAGCTTGGCTTTATGTAGCTCTATTGCTTTTCAGTGCTGGAGGTAATACCTGGATCCCACTCTGGACACATGGGGATGGCCTGTAATATTGCTGGTCAGCGCTAGACCCTGCACAATGATAAATTGCCTGGTGAACCGATAGGATGCTATATAGGTCCAGGGCAGTGACCCCAGCTGGGGAGTCGAGGCCCTTGTGGGAAAGCCTGCTGTGATGGACGAAGAAAGAACCTCCTCGGGGTCCTGCAACAGGAATGGTGCTTGTCCTGGGGTAGCCCCATATGGCTGTTGAAGCCAGGGTCTTGGAAAATAGGGACCTTTTTTTCGGTCATACCTATGCTACTGAAGGCTGTGAAAGTGACTTCATGGAAGATTTACCACAGAATTTGCTTGTGTATGCTTAAGGGTCAGATTTGGGCCTTGGCAGACTTTTTTTCATAGACCGACTGCTTCACATTCCTTGGTGCATGTTTTTTTGCAAGGTGTCACACGTATTGTTCCACCAGTCAGCACTCCATTGCTTTCATGGGACCTCAGGTTTGTACAGCCCTATTTCCAAAAAAGTTGGGATGTTGTGTGAAGCCTACATAAAAATAGAATGCAATGATTTGCAAATCAAATGAACTCATATTTTATTCACAGTAGAAAACCTATTAAATGTTTAAACTGACAAAATGTACCATTTTATTTAACAAAAGAAAAGGTAATTTGAAATTCATGGCAGTAAAACAATTCAACACAGTTGGTACTGGGCCGTGTTTATCATGGTGTAGCATCCCCCCCTTTTTTAACCACTTGCCTTCCGGGCACTTATACTCTCCGCCCCCCAGGCCATGTTCAGCTTTCAGCGCTGTCACACTTTGACAATTGCGCGGTCATGCAACACTGTAGCCATGTTTTTTATCATTTTTTCCACACAAATAGAGCTTTCTTTTAGCGATATTTTATCACCCCAGGGTATTTTATTTTTTGTGATATAAATAAGCAAATAAAAAAAAAAAAAAAGTTTTTCTTTCTATTATAAAATTTTGCAAATGGGTAATTTTTCTCCTTTGCTGATGTGCGTTGTTGAGGCGGCACGGATGAGGTGGCATTGATGGGTGGCACTGCTGTGCATAGGTGGGTGGTATCATTTCTCTGACAACTACCGGTTATTGGCAGTGCTTTCCGCACGCTGTGACAGCGTTACAGGAAAGTGCAGCCGATAACCGGCAGCTGTATTTACCGGTGATCTGCTGTGTCATTGGACACAGCCGATCACGTGGTAAAAGGTCACTGTGATTGGCAGTTTATCATATCACGTGATCAGCTGACACAGTTGGACACAGCGATCACTGGGGGTGCACAGGATGCGTGTTCTGGAATGATGTCCATGGACATCCTCCCAGAACTAGACAACCGTGCTGTAGCCGTCTTTCAGTAGGGAAGAGGTTAACAATGCTCTAGTCATCTGGGAGTTAAAGTGGAGTTCCAGTCACACTGAAAAAATAAGTCAGCAGCTACAAAAACTGTAGCTGCCGACTTTTAAAAAATGGCCACTCACCTGTCCCGCAATCCCGCGGTGTCCTCCCTGCAGTCCATCACTAGTCATCGTAAGTTCCAGGCGCCGGCATCTTCAGTGTGGGCACCCGGCTGTGACAGCTTGCGGCTTCACAGCCGGGTGCCCACTGCACATGTGCGAGTAGCGCTGTGCTTCCTGAATGGCCATGTAGTCTTTGAGGACCTGTCATGTGTCCCAGAAAAGTACGTAGAGGAAGGGGGGAGGACAACTTCCGCTTCCGATCACCTAGGTTATCGCAGCTGTAGTGGGAGTGGGTACCTGTCAATTTTGGGTACCCCCGCTCCCCTAAGATGCCAATCCTTAACCCCCCTGGCGGTATTTCCGAGTGTAGCTCGGGGTAAAGTTTCAGCATCAAAAGCGGTAACCCCGAGCTACACTCTGGTTTACCATGCGGTGCTACTCCGTGATCCCCCGGTCACTTTACCTTGTCCTGCGCTCCCGCGATGTCCCTTTTGCAGTGTCCCCGACAATGTAATCCAGCGGATGCTGTCATCTGGGTTCCGTCCTCTGCGAGCATCGGGACGTACGGGGGATGGAACGGCGGGAAATTTGAAAATGACATATTGGAACATTCACTCAATACACTAACATCACATAGTAAAACATTACTGTATCAAACCATTTCACATACATTTTGTCCCTAGTGCTTTGTCCTGTGCCCTGCCTGCATTTTTACTGTTCTTTCTGCCTGGAAACTGAGAAAAGTCCATGGCGTCCAAAAAATGTCCCTTTAGGTCAAAAGTGGTTTTAGACCAGCTAGAGAACAGAGATGGTAAATCAGAACCACTTGCAGAATTGAGTGATAATGATTCGTGGGGAAATTCGTCATCAGACACTGAAAACTATTTTGCGACTTTGCTCAGTGATGTGTGAACTTGGCGCTATATTTCAAACTTCAGTGTTTTTGGTTTGATTATATTATTGAATTAAATTATTATAATATTTTTTATGATTATTAAATTATAATTTATGATTTCGGTTTTCAAATTTTATCATACCCGGGATGTTTACTAGACTCTTGTTCGGACAGATTTTAGTGAGTTATTCCTAAAAATTACAGGCCTACAATAAAAAAAAATACACATTTCAATGCAAAAAAATGTACCGCTTTGAGCACAGAAATATGGACATAATCCGATCACTAGGGAGGTTAATGGGGAGCGGGCGACCAGTCTTTGAAGCGGAACTTTCCATTTTGGGTGGAGCTCCGCTTTAAGTAGACCAGTTGTTGGAGTTCTGGGAGAGGAATGTTGTCACATTCTTGCCAGATATAAGATTCTAACTACTTGGCAGTCCTGGGTCCTCTCTTCCATATTTGAAAATATTTGGCACATCTTGAAATGCCAAAAAAAAAAATGGTGAGAGGTCTGGATTGTAGGCAGGCGAGTTAAGCACCTGGACTCAACTATGAAGTCATGCTCTTATCGTAGATGCAATATGCGGTTTAGCATTGTCCTGTAATTTTTCCCTGAAAACAAAAGTCGCCTGGATGGTAGCATATGCTGCTTTAACTACTTGCCGACCGCAGATAGCCGAATGACGGCTACACTGCGTCCCGCCCAGTTCTGGGTGGGCGTCATATGACGTCCTCCCAGAATGCGCTCTCCTGCGCGCCCCCCAGCTAATCACATGATGTGGTAAAAAGGCCAATCACAGCGGCCTTTTGCCACGTGATCAGCCATGTCCAATGACATGCTTATCACCGGGAAATGCTATTGCCGGTTCTCGGCTGCACTTTCCTCATGCTGTCAGATCGTGAGGAAAGTACTGCCGAGAACCGGCAGTTGTTAGAGCAGGGATCGGCATCGATCATCAGGGCACTGATGATCAGTGCCCAGCAGTGCCACCCACAAGTTCCGCCCACCTGTGCCCAGCAGTGCACCCACTAGCTCCGCCCACCTGTGCCACCCATCAGTGCCACCCACCAGTGCCCAGCAGTGCCACCCACCAGTGCCCATTTTTTTTATCAAGATTCTCTAAATCTTTTGGTGATATATACTGTAGATTGATATATGATATAAGTCTTTACGTTGAGCAATGTTATTATGGAATTGACAATTTTTAGATGTGGTTTTTCGTGTTGGTGAACCTCCGCCCATCTTTTGCTTCTAAGATACTCTGACTCTTTAAGATACTCTTTTTATGCCCAGTCATGTTACGGACTTTTTGCCGATTAACTGAATTAGTTGCAAAATGTTCTTCCAAATATTCCTTGTTATTACCACTTACTTTGCCTGCTTTGTGTTGCCCGTCCCAGCGTTTTTTGTTGCTGCCATCAATTTCAAAATTACTTTTTGTTTATCATGGTGCATTTACTCAAATTAAAGGTTTGTATGTTTTCTATTGTGAATAAAATATGTAGTTAATAAGATTTGTAAATCATTGCACTCTGAGCCATCTGAGATACTAATTTAGTCCTTATGACTTGGAAGGTTATTTTTCTGGTTGCCATTACTGGCTCGCATAGTTTGGGAATTTGCTGCTTCTTCCTGTAGTTACTTTTCCTGATGCTTCACCATAACAAGGTGGTTCTACGGTCTCACATCAGTCTTTGAATGTGGTTTGTGCTATCAGATGTTGCCTAAAGTCAACTGCTGTAATTTGTCAGTCAGATTTCCTCTGTGTTTTTTTAAAGGCCCAAGGAAGGATTATGCAGCTTCCATGTCTACCATTTCTCATTGAATCCATCAGCTTATTTTTCAGGCTTATGATCTAAAGGGCAAAGTTCCACTTTTCAGTGAAGGGTCATTCGACCAGAAGTGTGGGTGCTTTCTGGGGCTATTCAACATCAGGCTTCAGTAGCTCAAGCTGGTATCTGGTCTTCAAGTTCATACTGTTAGCATCCACTTGGCAAAACTCTAAGGACGCTACCTTTTGGATGTCATGTTTTGCAGGTTGTTGTGTGAGGTTCTGACCTGTTCTGGTTTAAATGTCTGGGCTAGTTGACTTGTTGCTCCCTCATATTCTGTGCTTTCAAACCTTCCTGTCATAATGGATATGAAAATGATGTGTCCTGTGATGTACGATAAAGATGGCTTGGCCTGTTTACTTTTTCTTGGAGTACATCAGACACAGAGATCCCATCTCTCTTCTGCAAAGACTAGCCCTGCTTAATAGGGAGGGGTTATGCTTAGGAGAGAACATTGTCAGTGTCCAATTACCTGAAGGTGGCAGCATTACCCTATTGCAATGGATATGAAGATGCTCTGTGTCCCATGATGTATTCCATGAATAGGATTTACAGGTAAAGCAAAAATTCCATTGTTTTAATTATAGAATTCTAGGGAGGCTGATGCAATATAACAAATATTCTACCAAATACAAATTCATTATGCAAATATAATATAATTATCAACTGTTTTCTATTTTTGCAGTACTATGGACCGTGATAAAGTTGGCGTTCCAACAGATGGGGAATCTCACGCTATCACCTATCCACCAGCCATTGTGGTGTATATTGTTGATCCTTTTAATTATGAAAATAATGAGGAGGGCTCAGGTTCATCTAGTGTCTGGACTTTAGGGCTTCTCCGCTGCTTTCTGGAATTATTGAACACTCTACCACCACACCTTCGCAATACAGTCTCTGTCCAGGTAGGGTTTGTTTCCATTCATGTGTTTTGTGTGGTTTAAAAGACAACTTTTGCCTTAAAAGGTGAAGCCCAGTAGCCACTGTTATGTGTTTCACACTTGTATAAAGATAAAAAAAATACATATACATACACACTCCTGTGATCCAAATTACTTCCAGGTCTGTCCCCGATGATATAATTAGGCCCTGCCCAACCTGTTTTGTGACTGGTACTGAAGGATTTGAGCACTGACAAACAAAGTGACCAGCCTCGTATAGTTCGTCCCAATCCAGCATGCTTCAGCATTGCACCCCCCCCCCCCCCCCTTCAAGCAAGACTTCTATACACACTGCATGAGCTAATCTCTGTGCAGCTTTTCCAGATCAGTGTATCCTCCGCAATAACTTTGGAGGCCGTACCCAGACCTCGTTAAGACCTGAAGTGTGACCTTCAGACACTGGAATCTGCATATAGATGCTTTCTCAGATTCCCATATTTTTGTGTACTGTGAGTTTTAACAAAGGAGCTCTTTCCAGGATTGGGTCCATGGCACAACCTCTGGTGTGACCTTGCCTCTGAAGGCTTATTATTGAGTAGACCATGTGGGCTGAGCATCTGGAACTGCTAAAAATGATGGGTGGTGTTATTTCTTTGTTGATTTCCATTGAAATGGTTAAAATGCTGAGTAATTGAGTGCTTTGTCACTAAGTAGAGTGTGAAGTGCACACAGCGTACTCTGTTCTTGCCATTTAGCACCAGGTAACTTCTTCCTGTCAATGCTCCTTCCTTCGCCCCATCGGATGTGGCATTTGCGGTCTCATCCCAAATAAATTTTACTGTGTTTATGCAGGATTTCATGGGCCAAATTGCAGCATTGTTTGCGGACTCTGACCACAGAGGCTAGAAGTGTATTTCAATGCCTTCCCTTCCAGAATCTGTTTTCTAGCCTGCCTGCTGCCTAATGGCCTCTGAGCCTATTGCTTCTAAGGCTCTGATGAAAAGTTTCAGAAATCCTTGCCAGATGTTGCTCCTGAGGATCCGCAGGCAGCATCCATAGCCCCGAGGCTTAGAGATGTAGAGAGCTGCCCTATAAATAGAAGAATAGCATTTAACTTATACTAGTTCTGTTACTAGTCTAGAATCACTTCAAGTCCCTAAGACTATTTGAGACCATAAATTTGTCACCGCAAAGGTTAGCGGATCTCCATACTGCCCTTACAGGGCTTCTGTATTTAGGAGTCATTGCCCCAGTTTCTGTGGTGAAAAGGTTTTAGGGTTTAAACTCCAACCATTTTAAGTTTCCAAACCAGAAGGTGGCACTTGCTCCATCTTGGATCTCAAGGCTCTAAATGTCTTTATTTGGACCAAAAATGCACATGGAATTCACCAGGTCTGTCATAGCATTCTTCACTTAGAGCTTTTTTGGCCTCTATAGACATGTTTCTGTTTGCATGTTTCTGTTTTTCCAGCACATTTATTCCTTCACTTTGCTTGGAGTCATTGACATTTTCAGCTTGTGACTTCTCTACCACACCTCATCTCTTCATCTGTGTTCTTGTCCCAGTGCTTCCTGTGTTGCTGTCCCAGGGCATCCCCACTGTGGGATATCTGGATAAAGGAAGAGTCAACACAAACCTGGACCAACATTGTGCCCGGACGTTTTAAACTCTAAAAAGTTTGTTGGATCATGAAGTCCACAATAAAAGTATTTTTGTTCCAGAAGAAACTGTTTTCAGTAGAACCCAGACTTGGCAATCTCTTCTGTCCAAGAGTCTGCTTGCTCTTTTGCCCATTCCATTGAAGACTCCTACGAGTCAACATTATGCCATCATGGGACTAATCATTGTCAGAACAAACTTATTTGCCTGTTACTGAGGACAAGGTTGTCTCTGGCTTGGTAGTTTTGGTTCACACAGGCTCACCAAAATTGGACAATAGAAGATTGGAAAAATATTGCCTGGTCTGATGAGTCTTGATTTCCCTAGAGATGGTTGTGCATGAAAATCCCAGTAGATCAGCAGTTTTTGAAATACTCAGACCAGCTCGTCTTGACACCAACAGCCATGTCACCTGTCGTCTTACATCAAACATGTCATTTAAATCCCTTTCTTCCCCATTGTGATGCGCGGTTTGAACTTCAGCAAGTTGTCTTCACCACGTCTATAGGCCTAAATGCATTGACTTGCTGCCATGTGTTCGGCTGATTTGCAGTTTGTGTTACCAAAGCAATTTAACAGGTGTACATAATTAAAGTGGCCGATGAGTGTGTACCCTGGAGAAATTCCATCTCCCAATCAGTATTCTAGAGTTCTGGGTAGTTTGGCTGTCCCTACAATGCTGGATATCCTGTCTGGTGGGTCATACAATTAGGACCAGTAGAATAATGTCACAGCAGTGACTTACATCATTTCAGGGAGGAACCAGAAGCCTTGCCATGACAAGAGGTAGAAAGGATCCTGTTCAGGGCAGAGCTACCTGTTTTAACCTTATCTGGCTATTACATTCTAGGCTGACAGTTGGCAGGCGGACTTCCTCAGCTCGCAGCACCTGGATCTTGGGGAATAGGCTGTGCGCCCAGCAATTTTTCAGGTCCTGTGTCACAGGTTGGGGATGCCGGTTATGGACTTCTGATCTCCCAGGTTCAACACAAATAAAACAGATTTGTCTCCAGATGAAAACATTCTCTTGCGGAAGCAGTGTATTTTATGTGATGGCTCCTGGGGATCATCACAGCCTGATCTACACTTCCCCTTCAACTCCTTCCTTGTCTTTTCTAGAGAATTGAGGAGGGCATTCTAGTGATCCTCATAGCTGTGGAAAAACCCAGGTGGAGTCAGTATTCTGACATGGCCTGGCTCCTGATAGATTTCTCCATGGGCCCTTCTAGATTGTTAAAATCTTCTATACCAAGGACTAGCTTAGTATCTAATACTAGAGCATTCTTATTTCCTGTTCCTCAGAAACATCAGAAAGATTACTTTACATTGTTTAGATTTAGTTCATATTGTGCAAGTCTACTTTGTAGCCACCGCCTCCACTAAGAAAAACGCTCTGTCGTCCCAGATGATCCTTGCACAGGGGAACCAGCTGCTTGTTCCACCATTTATCACTGGCTCTGGCAGATTATTCCATCCTACGGTCTTAAGGATCAGGTTCCACCCTTTTTCTGTCAAGGCACACTGTAATAGATGTGTGGGAGTGTTCTTGGCTTTTTGGGACCTGACAGTGGGTTCTCAGATTTGTAAGACTGCCACCTAGTCTTTTGTTCCCACGTTCTCGAATTTTTAATTGGTCAATGTTCAGGCCCTCAAGCAACTCCTTGAGTAGATCTGTTAGCATTTTGTTTGGTATGTTGCTCATCCTTCAGTTGGATTGCTTTTGGCCCTCAGTATACGAGAAGGAAAAGTATTTTATGCAGTAGGGAAAAATCCATTTTGTTTCCAACGATATAGAAAGATTTGTTTTTTTCCAGCGATTTTGGTTTTGTTTTTTTCCAAATCATGCATATGAATATTGCGTCAAGGAGGTAAACCCTACTTGACTGTCTCTTTGCCATAATGAGTACAACCACTTTTAGCAAAGGTTTCATATTGCAGACAGAAGAGTGAAGCTCGCGTGAGGTGGACTTCAACTCCAAGACTGAACAGACATTGAGTCCTTGTAAATATTGCCCCCCCGTAATCTTGGGACTGCTAGAGTACATGATTTAGATGTATCTGGTTCATTAAAGTTGTAGTAAACCTTTATAATATACCCAGTAAAGAGACTAGCCTCAGGTAATACAGAGATGACATACGTTGTACCTGTTTATTTGCAGCCCTCTCTTCTCTACAGCTTTCTAAAACACATATATTTTCCATAGCATCTCTGCTCAAGAAAGCAGGGGGTGGGGATTTGATGTCTCTCACTGCAGAGCTAGAGCACAAGAGTACCCTGATAGCTGAGCGGGGGAAAGGGACTCCCCTTCCCCCAAGTAGAAAAACATACGGGACTCGGTCACCTACTGTTTGATGGAGGCGAGCTGGTTGTCTCCTTCAAAGTTGTTGTCAGCTTAGAGTCTTGGCTGTGACTCATGCAGATAGCAGAAGGATCAGAGATTAATCACACTTGGTGCTTTGGATCCAAGCTATTACACACTGTAGAGGGATATGTTTTGTTCATTTTTCATGTCTGAGCTTTACAACCACTTTATCGTATCTGTGGAATAAGAAGGTGGCTCTTAAACACTCTTATTAATAGCTTGTGAGTGGTCCACTTTAAAGAAATGCTGAGAAAGGACTTGCAGAAATGTTATTAGTGTATTCTTGTCATCACTGGAGTTGTGCATCTGACTGACACTTCAAAAAATGGCCAAAGATCATTGCTAAACATGAAGAGTTGCCCATACCTGTGAGTAGCATCTGAGTCTAAGGCTACAACACAAGGTGATCTGTCTTCATGCTCTTGAGGAGTCCATCTTTTATTGGTTTTCTACCGTTCATAAATTTCCCTTCTCTACTGCTTTAATGTAGCACTGCATCAAAACATAACAGGCCCTGACCACTTAAAACAGAGGGTTTAGACCCACTTTAACATTTTTTCACAAACGAAAGCTCAAGTTAGAATGTTATAAAATTTTAAACCGTATTTTCACATTCTGGCTACTAGTGCATGTGCAGTATATGATACCTTCAAGGCATCCTCTGGTAATAGCTGTTGAAGTTGTCTGTGTGCTTAATTAAAATTTCAGCTGGTGTCATAGCTGATCATGTCTGCAGCACTGTGGCAACTGCAGATCTAAATGGAAGCTAAGATGGCACTTCAGCAAATGGGAAAGTAGGAGAGTTTTTAATTCCGCTTTAATTGTGCATGTGTTTTTGAGTAAAAATCTGTTTGTTTTTTGTGTAACTAATTATCAGTTGTCTGCAGAGGTTTGCAGGTGCATGTACACCCAACACTACGGATGAGTTCAGGCTTGCTCGGATACTAGTCCTAACCCGCCTGAACTATCCCACCAGGAAGTTTCACAGCAGACTGCCAATCATTCCCTGTTCCATAGCTGCATGTATTCCTGCCTGACACCTATACATAAATCTTTTCCTAATAGGTGATTGATATGCACTAGATGTGCATCTTTCTGTCTCTAACTTTTTTGAATCAACTTCCTTGTAAAATCCAATATGCCATTTTATTGCCCTGCGTTTCTTTGCTGCCTTTTAATAAATGCAGGATTTTTTTTATAGCCATGAATCCTGATATACATGCTTATCTTTTCAGATTGTTCCATGTGAGTATCTCCTGCAACCAGTAAGGCACGAAGACCGTCAGAATTACACCCAGCATTTAAAGTCACTAGCATTCTCAGTGTTTACACAGTGCCGAAGACCACTTCCATACTCAACAAATGTGAAAACGCTAACGGGATTTGGGCCAGGGCTTGCCATTGAAAATTCCCTGAAGAGTCCAGAAGTAAGTGTTCTGTCTTTGTTTCTAAAAGGCTTTATTGTGTATCTTTGCTTTGCTATTTATGTGATGTAATTTACTTTGTAGAATCATTTTGTATTATGATGCAGTTTTCTGTTAAAGAATATATGGGGCAGCATAAATTAAACTTTTCATACTGGTTTACGACGACTTGTAAATGGTCCTTCTACCCAGAAATTGCTTTACAGTTTAAATCTGACAACTGCAATAAAAGAGTAACAGCCCTTTCGCAAGGGCTGTATCCATTATGGTCAGCAAGGGAACTGCAAACAGATCTTCTGAACTGAAGCAGAACAGAAGTCACTTTTGTGGTCAAGTTTTTTTTTTTTTTTTTTTTTTTTTTTTTTTTTTTTTTTTTTTTTCCCCCTCCAGCCTGAATCAAGACAGTGTTTGGTCTATAGGCAGGCAGATCTAAATAAACATGCCATAGCTGAAATCTTTTTACCTCATATCCGTCACGTTTAAGTCTGGACTTAAGGCAGCCTAGGGGTATGAACAAAAACAGAGGCCCTGTAGAATAAAATAATTGCACATTTTTATGTCACAGGATATTTGCGCAAATGTTAAACTCAAATTTTCAGGCTCAAATATAATATGCATTCCCCCCCAGTCGTCTTCCAGGTCAGCCCCTGAGAGATACAGCCTTTGAGGGCTTGCCTTCATTATAAAAGAACAATATTCCAGCTTCCCCTTAGTTTTGTGTTTCCTCTGTCTGGAGGGGACGCATTACTTTTTTACAGGGACTGTGGTTGCAAATTGTAAGGAGGGCCAAATCTCAGGGAGGTCCTGGAGCACAATGGATTTGGGGCTGTGTTTTCACGTTTGCCTCTCCCTCCTTCCAGAAGGAGTGATCTGCTAACTTCTTCCCTGTGTGCTACCTGGTACCTGCTAGAGGGCAAGGCTAGGAGCCATTGTGGTCGCAGTGGCGGGAGATCCGGGTGGCGATCCTCCTCAGCCGCTGGAAGCTGGTGACTACGGCCGTTTCTGGGAATGAGATAATTTCCGGCGGCATGACTCGTCACTGGGCACAGAGGTCATATATTATGTAAAACCCCAGAACATTATATATTTTCTGAAAGCAGAGGCCCTATGGAATAAAAAGGTGATAATTGCAAATTTTTATGTCACAGGATATTTGCACAAATGTTAAATGCAAATTTTCAGGAAAAAATATAATAAAATTAAGTTTAGTGCAAAAACACACAATATAATACCCATTTTTGGCTAAAATATAATAAATGAGGTTGCATCGAGTAAATGGATACCAAACATTCCCTGTATTAAAATTGCATGCACCTGTGATATCTCCAAAAACTATGGTGCCCAAAAAGTGTGAGGTGACACTTTAAAGGCCATTACAGCTCATCCGTTTAGGGTCAACAAGGAGCTCTTGTGCTCGAATTATTGTTCACTCTGACCTTCGGGGAGATATGTCACATGTGTGGTGTGACCATGGTTTACATACGTGTGCACACCCTAGGCTTGCATTTGTGCAGGGCAATGGGCGTTACGGCAATTTTTGTTCCCTCTCCCTGGTTGTTCCACACCTGGATATAAGGACCTAGATAAGTGAAGGACTTTGCTCATTCTTCGGGACCACTTTATGGCCTTCTGGAACAGGTGGTTCTGTGACTGTGTTGAGAACAGTCTAGGTAATTTTAGGTGGTACTTTCTGTGGAGGTGTTTTCTATGCACCCTTCCCCTTGAGTCAAAATGGAACCTATAGTTCTCTGATGGACTCAGGAGCCACGTCACACCTGCTCTTTGTTCTTTAGCCGATTTGTGAGTTCCAGGTTATTCTCACGTAGCAAGTTCAGTTGTCTGCCCAGGCAACCCTTATTCAGAGATTGCATCCCTTGATCCCAGGGGGTATGGGGTGTAAATGCTTTGGACCATCTCATATTTAAATTGGCTGCTTTCTCTCACCTGGACCTGATTTTTAATAGGTTTCTTCTGGGGGCTTGTCCCCAGCTCTTGTTGACCACATCAGGTTGGGGGTCTTTTCTTCTCCAATCTAGAAACTGCTTGCCCCATACTGAGGCATGCTGGATTGGAGGAGTGGTGGGTTACTGGGCTTGTCTACATGGTTGTCACATTCTCCTGTAGGTGGCAGTATAACCTGACAGTATTTAAATTCCTGTGCCTCTCAATGGTCTCCAAAGAAAAAATTATGCTTAAATTCCTATTTTTGTTACTTGAGAAACTTTTAGGGAAAACTCACATTTACTAAATGTCTTAGTCAATGATTCCTGCTAGTGTTTTTATTTAAATCAGTACCTTTAGAGCCTCCTGGATTCTGTGGGCACCCAGTACACATATATAAGGCCCTACCCCATGTGCTGTGCGCTGTGAAAGCTTAGGCACCGACAGCTGAAAGACCACACATTTTCCTTATAACAGTTGAATGGCACGAGGCAAGGCGTAGCAATAGAACTGAATGGGACATTTGACCTTGAGTAAAGTCTAGGCCCTGTATACAGCCTATGCTGATGTTCTTTTAGCCCTACTATATTAGGTGCTTTTTAGCTCGGCAATAATCTCAATATTTTTGTGTTTTTTGTTAGCTTGAAGAATGCAAGCTTTTATTTTGTTTTGTTTTCCCTGTTAGAGACCAGACTGCATTCGACTCTACACACCACCTTTTATTCTGGCACCAGTTAAAGACAAGCAGACAGAACTCGGTGAAACATTTGGAGAGGCTGGTCAAAAATATAATGTTCTTTTTCTGGGATACTGCTTATCTCATGATCAGAAATGGCTTTTGGCATCTTGTACTGACCTCTATGGAGAGCTGTTGGAAACATGTATCATAAATATCGATGTGCAAAATCGGTAAGTGTTATGTCACAGTTCTGTGTAATGTCTCATTAAGTTTTACAGCCCTATATTCTATAAAATATGGCTTAGACTCAATTTTATGTATTTGTTTAATTTTACAGTGCTAGGAGGAAAAAGGGCTCTGCTCGTCGCAGTGGCCTTCAGAAATTATGGGAATGGTGTCAAGGACTTGTACAAATGAGTTCTTTGCCATGGAGGGTAGTCATTGGTCGCTTGGGAAGGATAGGTCATGGAGAGCTAAAAGGTATGTCATGATGTAATGTCCACCAATCGTGTGTATTATAAATCTAAAGTAGAACTATAGGCCAAACTTTTAATTTGGATAGAGTAAGGGGAGATTTTAACCCGTCCTTTTTTTTTTTTTTCCCCCAATTTGTGTCCTTTTTGGGGAGATTTACCTTCACCTCCTGTCAATAGCCATAGAGGGAGTTAATCCCTGCAAATTAAGGGACTAGACCTTGCGTCCCCATTTCCCCTCTATTACTTTTCTTGGGACAATCCAAAATTTGGGATGTTCCTGTACTTTTACTTTCAGTGATGATGGTATGGTACACAAGACAAATAGAAAGGTTGAATCTCCTTAATGGGGGGCACAGATGGCAATAAAAACCTAATAGGTGTTCTGATCCATCTCCACACTACTCAAAAAATATATTGCATTTAGTTACACTTTAGTGTGTGTATAATGAGGTTTGAAAGGGGAGCTTTAGGCTTTAGACACTTAATCCAATCTGTTCAGAATGTATGTGCATGTCTGGGTCTTCCAGCTTTTGTGAATATTAGAAATATTGTGCACTTTAGGCTTGCTTTAAATTGTGCTCAAAATTGTAATAATTGACTAATTTAAAAAAAAAAAATTCTTCAGATTGGAGTTGTTTGCTGAGTCGTCGTAATCTTCAGTCGCTAAGCAAGAGGTTGAAGGATACATGCAGGATGTGTGGTATTTCAGCAGCAGACTCTCCCAGCATACTAAGTGCTTGTTTGGTGGCAATGGAACCACAGGGGTCATTTGTGATCATGCCAGGTACATCTTGCTTATCTATATGTTTTCAAATTAATGTTTTAAAATCTTCCTTGTTGGGATTTATCTACATTTGTGATTTCATGTGTTGTGATACAACAGTGTTTGAGCCAACTTAATTTGACTCCACTTATTTGACATTATTTTCAAGAAAATATATCCTGCTCTGTAGATTAACAAAGAATGCCTTTATAAAATTAAATATTTCTTCGTATTGGGGCCTCAGTAATATATTGGTCGACCCCATTTATTTTTTAACCCGCAAACTTTACACCTTTTCATGTAGTTGTGATTTTTTTTTTTTTTTTTAACACAATACAGTGATGTTGGTGCTGAAATTGTGATACAGTAATGCATGCATTTTCTGTAGACAAGTGCTTACTTTTTTCCCCTTTGCAGATTCTGTATCAACAGGTTCTGTGTTTGGTCGGAGCACCACACTCACGATGACTTCTCAACTTAATACCCCCCAAGATACATCATGCACACATATCTTAGTTTTCCCCACATCTGCATTTGTGCAAGTAGCATCAGCAAGCAACACAAATGAGAACCTTTTCAGTTCAAATAATGGTAAGTGTTTGTGTATGGCTAATCTTCTGAAATCCTTGTACAATGCATACATTGACAGTTGTATATACTGTACAACAGGCAGCAGTCAACTTACTGCTTTTGTGAAACCTATACAACATTCCTTTCTGTATAGTGTCCATAGTAGTGATGTGCTAAAGCCTATACCAGCCTACCCAACTTTCCTTTCTGTATAGTGCCCCTAGCAGTGGTGTGCTAAAACCAATACCAGTTTGCTTTTCAGCATGTTAATATTTTCAAACTAGTGATATGTTGATATGAATAGCTGCCCTCGTTCTTATTAAATAGGCGTGGTGATGTGATTTTTAAATTCTGCTTGTTACTCAGTGTGGCTTAAGATTCCATTTACACCTAATGCAACTTGTCATGCGACTTTGGACACAGTTGCACGACAAGTAGCAGCCGATTGCTTTTACTAGCGCCTGTTCCAATCTATGCGACTTAAAGTTGCAGCAAATTTGACAATATTTCCTGCTCTACGTTAATGCAGTTTTCCTGCGACTTGAGTGCCAGAGTGTAAAGTCGCACTCAAAATTGGTCGGCTTTGGAGTTGCACTAGTGTGAATGAAGTCTAACATTTGGGTGTAAACACTTTACATTTTAAATATTCTTTACTCATGACTAACTATTCTACTGAAAGATGAAATTTGGGGGGGGGGGGGTGTGGGTGTGTGTAATATACTACATATTAAGTATATTTCAATTTTCTTTATTTTAGATGGAACAGATGGCATGGGAATTTTTGATGTGCTAGAGACGCCTGATGACTTGGATCCAGATATTATTAACATATTTCCTGCATCACCCAGTGGCTCTCCAATCCACTCACCTGGATCCCATTATCCTCATGGAGGCGATGTTGGCAAGGTAATGTAGTTGTAGTTTGTAAAGTAGCATCTGCGGTTAATTTCCAACATATGAATGATCAAGGTGAAACTTAAAAGTGTACACCTTTCAGAAAAAATGGCTAAGTAATTGGACACCCTAAACCCTCCAGCCCGTGCTGCACGTATCTCCATGGGTGATATAGTTTCATTGTCCACACAGCCCGGTGCAGTGATCCTGAGTTTTGAAAACCATGCTGTTCTTCTTTCCTTAGGTACTCTGGGACAGATCAGAGCAGTTCTGATTGGTCAGCACAGTCATGTGACTGTGCTGACCAATCAGAACCACTCCGATCCATGCCTGCTTCCCTAAGGAAAATGGAACAGCAGTGCGGTTTTGTCTTATCAGGTTTTTGTCAAGTTTTACTGGAGGTCTACTTTCATGTTGGTTATATGTACTTTGTAGCTAACATAAAAGGCAAAACATGTCAAATGTATACATTCGCTTATCTGTAGCAGTTTAAAAAAGTGTTTGCTGCGGTTTTGGGGAGTGCTGCTCACCTATGAAAATTAGAAATGCCTGCAGCTCTCTAGTAAGTGTGTACTAGACTTGGGGCTTATTGTTCAAAGTGATAACATCTGTTTTAGAAAAGCACTTTTTATGAATATTGCAGTAATGGATCGCTTATTAAGTTCACTTATTAACCTTTTTCCTAAGCGCTTACAGTTTTTCAAAACTTTGAAATTGCAGGGTCAAGGTACTGATCGACTGCTGTCCACGGAATCCCATGATGAAGTGACTAACATTTTGCAGCAACCCTTGGCACTTGGTTACTTTGTTTCAACTGCCAAAGCTGGTCCTCTACCGGACTGGTTTTGGTCGTCATGTCCTCAAGCACAAAATCAGTGCCCTCTGTTTCTTAAGGTAAATATTTCCAAAAATCCTCTTTAGATTATATGCACAATATAGCAGACATGCCACTTCAGACATGATGAAAGAGTGTGTGGCAAGCTGAGATCAACAGTAGTGCTACTACTGCATTGGATCAACAAATCAACCCAATCAACATTCCATGTCTGTTTGAAATGGACATTAATGGTGCTCACGTTTATTGTGTGCATCAAGCCATTTGGTGTCACTCAGTGCACATATGTTTGTGTGCTATGTTGTGATGCCTTTTGAGTCTTAAAGCGGAATTCCAATCACACTGTGAAAAAAATAAGTCAGCAGCTACAAAAACTGTAGCTGCTGACTTTTAAAAAAACAGCCACTCACCTGTCCCACGATCCCACGGTGTCCTTCCCGCAGCCAGTTTCATCAGCCGTCTGGTGTTCTGGCATCTTCAGTGTGCGCACCCAGCTGTGACAGCTTGCGGCTTCACAGCCGGGTGCCCACTGCTCATTCGCGAGTAGCGCTGCGCTTCCTGAATGGCCCCGTCGTCTTCTGGGACCTGTCCCCTGTCCCAGAAGACTACGGGGAGGTAGGGTAGAATGACAACTTCTAATTCTGATTGCAGTGGGAGCGGGTACCTGTCAATTTCGGGTGCCAATCCTAAATGGGAAGTGGGGGACCAGTCTTTTAAAGCGCAACTTCCCCTTTTGGGTGGAGCTCCGTTTTAATTCCTTAAAAGTAAGGTCTCTTACAAGTAAAAAAAACTAGGCCATTACCAGTCTCTAATATGGTCATGTGATGCATGAAATATCATTTGTTTGCCAAATGTAAAAAAGATGCACTTGAAACCCCTGCTACTCAAGACAGAAGTGATCAAATATTTTTTCTTTTGTCTGCCATACAACAGCAAATGTTAAAGGATAAGTTCACCTTTTGGAAACATGTTACACATTCCACCCATATTTAGGGTGGAGCATGTAACATGTTCTAGCTCCAGCCGTCAGTTCCCCCATTCCCCCTCATTGTGACAGCAGGCAAGGGATCTTTTCTTTTCACCTGCTGTCTCAATTCAAAATCCGCACAGCCATGCGGGGATTTGCCCATTTTGACCACGCCGTTCTTTCACAGTTTCCTGTGAATGCATGAACTACAGCTACAGTCAGCCATTGCAGCTGAAGGCTTGTAGTTCTGAATGAACTGCGAGGTCGCTTGTCCATTCACAAGCCCTGCAACTTGTAAACAATCAGCCCCTATGATGCTGTGGGCTGAAAGCTGTAGGGCTTGTCTGCAGGAATCTGACATCTACTGATCACGGGTGCCATGCTTTCCAGGCTCCTTAGGGACAAAATAACTGTGCATTTATTATTTTTCCCCCAAAAGGTGAACTTATCCTTTAAACACAAGATATGAGCATACATTTCTAAAAAAAAAAAAAAAAAAAAAAGAGTAAAATTGTAATGTAGTTAAATAGCAGGTCCTCTGAGGTGTTTGTATATACCACCATTTTTTAAATCTTTTTTTTCAACCACCCTACATCTGCAGACACACAGGACCATTTTATGTATTTGGCCACCTCCCACATATGTATCTCGTATTTGCATGTAAGAGAACCCAATGTTTTTGGGCCCTGGGGTGTATGAGAAGGCATTGACAAGTATGTGCAAGCATCCAAGGGTGCACACTTCGTAATTATGTTTTTAGACTTTTTTTTTCAGGATTTGATTAAATTAGCGTTATGTGCTAATGTTGCAACTCTATTATATTGGCGTACTACATAGCACAAATGGTAAGACACCCTTCTCTGTTACCAATGCAAACTCAACAAGGGTAGGATTAGTTTGGTGGTACAAACACAGTAATAAGACTATATTCAAACACACCAGACTAAAACTGCATAGAAGGCTGTGCATGTACAATAGTCATTCAACTAGTACATGTACAGGCTTGTGTAAAGTGCTAGAAGAACAGAAGTCGTATGTGAAATGTCTACAATCTGATATTTACAGTTTTACTCTTCACCATTGAGTGGCGAAGAGCAAAACTGTATGATATAATGGTTTGAAAAGGTTTTAAATCTTTTCACTTTTTTTTTTTTTTTCTTTTCTTTTAGGCCTCTCTGCACCTCCATGTGCCTTCAGTGCAATCAGATGAGTTGCTACACAGCAAACACTCGCATCCGCTAGATTCAAATCAGACTTCAGATGTCCTCAGGTAAGAAAAGTAATTTTTAATCGTCTATATTCTGATACATTAGAACTAACACAGCAAAATTTGTATTTAAAATACCAAAAGTATATACAATAGGTTTTCAATTCAGACATAAAATGAACACCTTTCTTTTTCATCCATTGAGGGACACGGGAAGTCTTTCACCTTCTGGTTATACTGCCACCCAAAGGAGGATTGATAACAGTGTTTGTAGGGCGCTCTGCAATGGTATGACCTTCCGGAGAAAAGGATCTTGGGCATCCAGTTGAGGAAAGGGGAACCAGATGACATGGGAGCAAGCTGTGCACTGGAGCAGCTGTTTAAGAGTGAAAGCAGACTCTAGTAAAGTAAATAGCAAGGAATGCGACTCTAAGTGCAGTTTACAGCAGTTTATTGAGTAGTAAAGGTTAAAACTTTACAAGATAGCAGCCAGGTAAAAGCTAATCAGGTATAATGCCAGGGAGACACTGAGCCGACCAGCAGGCTGAGGAATGAGTGTCTACGCATGCTCCGAAACGTGTTACCACCCCCTTGACGTCACGTCCGGCATGTGTGTTCCACGCCTCTCCTGGATGTACAGCGGCTATCTTTTCCGTGTGTTCCACCACACTCACTACCGCTGGTCAGCTCAGTGTGTCCCCCTGACATTATACCTGACTGCTATCTTGTAAGTGCTTTTAACCTTTACTACTCAAACGGCTGTAAACTGCACTTAGAGGCGCCTTCCTTGCTATTTACTCCCATTGAAGGATTGGTCACTGCAAACAAAGCTTGGCCAGCCCAGGATAACCCATCCTCTCAATAGTATGCCTCAGTTTTTTGCTACTGTCCAAGGGGGTTGGAAGTCTTTTCTTTTCTTCACCAATTGCTATGTTTAGAATATATATATATTTTTTTTTTTTCTAGACCATTTTTATTCATGTTTTTCAAGCAAGATGCTTCTCTAGATCCCAGCTAGAACCTGGCCCTTTTCCAGCTATCTCAGCCTGGCATTTGGCGTACCATGTCTGGACAACACTGGACTGGATGGTGCTAGCCTGGAAGTGGGGTGCTTTCCAAACTACATTGTGGTAAAAGTTTTCACCTGTAGAGCACTCTTCAGCCAAGCAACTAGCATTGCCTCAGTGCCTGCCTAGAATCAGAAAACTCGCTTAGTGAGTAGGCCAGTCAAGGCGAGTGTTGAAAGTGACCTCATTTGCATAGGTTGGGCATGCCATTATTTCCCCTTCCATGGAAGAGGATAATGCTGTGGAACTGAGCACGGATATCATCCATTGGGTGAATTGTCAGGCAGACTCTGCGCTCTTTTTGTAGTGTTTAGGAAGTGTCAATCGACTCCTGCTGCTCCTGCTTGCACATGGCCACACAGAACTTCAATCTTTAGTTATTCCGGTTGCCTGCCTACACGCGACATTGGTCACCGCCAGCCAGCCCTCACTCGGCTCTCTGGGTTTCATGGGTAGCTAAGCCTTTGCCTGTTACTTTGAGCCTGTATTTTGTTTTACCATCACATGGTTGCAACATGTCTAATTCTAGATGAAGAGGGGGCTGTCTCTCTGTTTTCAGTGCCTCCTGCTCACTCACTGCTCGGGGGCTGCCTGCAGCATACCTACTTATACTTTTGACGTCTGCAGCCTGAAGTCATGTTGCCCTTTGCTCCTAGAGTCTATTCCATCATTGGAGTCCTCTTTAGCCCCTGTAGCTGTGGCAGAAACCAAGCAAAAGGGGAGCCACTGCAAAAGCTCAGGCAAACATTCCATTGCTGAAGGAACTCTCAACCTCAGAATGATGGAGTTTCCCTTGCACTGAAGCAGAGATGATTTGCCACCGGTCTCTGCAACGGACAGTGCTTCCATGCCTAGTGTGATCAGTTTGAAATAGGAAAACGGGAACTGGAGGAATCACCAGGTATTTGACACAAAAGAAGCAATGCAAAGAGAACTTTTTAGAAAACACATCAGGTACATGAAATGTTGTAACAAACACTTTAAGTGCTTCCTGCATCCCTCAATGGACTCAAGAAAAGTATTTTACATTAAATACAAAAAAACTATTTTTCATGTAGAGGTTCTGGGAAGAAAGTGACCTTTTTCTTAAAGTTGGCCATACATGGGTCTTTCTTTTTTTTTTTTTCTATTTTAAGCTTAGTCATTGGGTCGAATGGGGAAAAAAAAACTAACCCAATTCCCCCATCCACACAATGAGGCTCAGTTTTCACAACTAATTAACAAAGTACCGTATTTTTGGCTCCAGAAGACGCATCTAGATTTTACAGGAGGTAAACAAGAAAAAAAAATATTCTGAACCAATAGACTGCAGACATAATACAGGAGATGACCAGAGACTGCAGACACAGTACAGGAGATGATCGGGGGGGGGAGCGGGTACCCGAATTTGACAGGTACCCATTTGACTGGACCATTCACAAAGCACAGCACTTCTCGCGCATGCGCAGTGGGCACCGGCTGTGAAGCCGCAAGCTGTCACAGCCAGGTGCCCACATTGAAGATGCCAGAACCAGGGAGAGAAGATGGTGAGGACACCGCTGGACTGAGGAGCAGGTTCTGCTGCACAGAAGAGCTGAGCGGCTGGCCTGGTATTCTAACAGGGTGATGGAGGGAATACCGGGCCGGCCGCTCCATAAGACGCATAGACATTTTTGTTCCAAAAAAGTGCATCTTATGGAATGAAAAATACGGTAGTTGTTTAGCGGTTCAGGCCTAGTTTACATCAGGATTAGGTCTTATTTTATTTTTCAGGTGCTTGTATAGCGTCGTCAATTTACAAAGCGCTTTACATATATATTGTACATTCACAAGGGGCGTACAATCTAAGGTCCCTAACTTACATTCATACATACACATACTAGGGCCAATTTAGTCAGGATCCAATTAACCTACCAGCATGTCTTTGGAGTGTGGGAGGAAACCCACGCAGGCACAGGGAGAACATGCAAACTCCAGGCAGGTGGTGCTGTGACTGGGATTTGAACCAACAACCCGAGTACTGCCAGGTGGAAGTGATAACCATTTAGCCACTGTGCTGCCCTATTATCCTATCTTGATTTTATCCTGTTCACAACTGAAAGACATTTGCAAAGAAGTCCCATAGACGTCAGTGGGCCTGAATTCACACCTGAGCCAGACCACACTGCTCAGAAAACTGACAGGACTTTTTAAATTTGCACTGAATACACACTCCAGCTGCATTGGACAGATATGAAAAGTTGTGCGAATAGGATGCAGATAAAAAAAGCATTAAAAGATTTTGTACTAGCTAAAAAAAGGGTTTTGGTTTTTTTTTTTTGTTTTTGTTTTTTTTTTACTAATATATAGTTCATAAACATACATCCACAGTTTATATAGGGAGTTTGATTTTTTTTTTTTTTTTTGCCTTGGATGTCATGCCCAGGTTTTTTTTTTTTTTTTTTTTTTAATTAAATGGGTCATGTTTGCAGGGTAATATCCTAATGGATATAATCTCCTGTACTACATGTATTGTTTACATATCTCTTCTCCAGTTATCTTTGTGTTTGAGCACTTTATCATAGCAAAGCTTCACTATGAACCGATCCATACAGATATTGTAAAGTTAAACTATGTATGCTCACCTTTGGTACACTATGATTACTAACCTCTTGATTTCCTTTCAGGTTTGTTCTGGAACAGTATAATGCCCTCTCCTGGCTAACCTGTGATCCTGCAACTCAAGACAGACGTTCGTGTCTGCCAGTTCATTTTGTGGTGCTGAACCAGTTGTATAACATTATCATGAATATGCTGTGACATTCAGTAAGAAAGCTGCAAGGAACACAAGGCTTTTATTACATTACAGGACTCCGAAATCCCATTTGTTTTCTTTGAAGCCACTCAGTATACAAAATTGGCAGGATTTACACCAGACTGGGTTGTTACTTAAAATAACACCACCTCCTGTATTTGGATAATTGCTTTATAATACGAAGCCAGTTCTACTTTGAAAGTCTCATGGAACATTTCTAATCATCTCCTGTCTCCGTTTCTGTGGGAGGATCCTCTATTGACATCACCTGGAAGACGCAAGGTGTCCTAGGAAGCAAAGATGTTTCATCTTTTGACTTTTAAACATCATGAAGATGTTGTGTGGATTATAAAACCTATTATCAATATACAGAAAAAAAATGCCTGCATCTCTTATTTATTGTAAGTTTTTAAATGGAAAAATTGTCTTATATTTCTTAACCTCTTTTATAAAATGGAAAAAAACAAACTTTTTTTTTTCCTAGAAGGTTTATACTGCCTTCTTGCTTTAAAGCAATTGGTTTAAAATATATGTATTTGTCTTAATTAAAAGTTGCAGTAGGTTGCTTTTAGAGTATTATTTTTTGTAAGGGGGAGGTTGACAATAAACATTTGTATTGTTTGATGTACAGTAAATGGGGGGGGGGGGGGGGATAGGAAGGGTAATGTCCATACCATTGTGTGTGGGGGATTTACAGCTAAGCTGTAGCAGCAGAGTACATGTACAGTAATGATATACACTGTGTTTTATAGCATTTGAAAAGGTACCGGGTCTTAAAAAAAGATTTTATAATCACACCTCAACAAACCCTAATGGCAATATATCATTGAATGTTGTAGGTGGTTTAACTTGTAGTAACAAAATAAACGATTCACTTTCATTTTTGTAATTTGGTTCAGGGCTCTGGCTGTATTTCTTAGAGTTGTTGCTACAAAAAAAAAAAAAAGCATTACTTTGTATGATAAAAACTAAATTTTGCTTTATCTCCCCCCTCCCAAATTTTCAAGACTATTTAGTTCAATTTCACTGGCCGGTTAACATTAACTGCAAACAGATGTACCTAGAAGGCCTTGTGTTGTATGGAATTACAAGCGGTCTTTCTGGGGGTTCAGTAAGTGGTGTTAGGGTGCCGTGTAAATAGACTTACACACTGTTTAGATGATGGGGTTCCTCAGTTTTGTTATATCAATATTTGATCTTTAATAGCTTGTATTATCTGTTCACAAATACCTGGAAATAAGTGAATTGTATTCCGAAAACCTCACTTTTTTTCTAAAGTTTGTAAATACAGAGTATTTACCTTTAACACTCATAGTTACATGGAGGAATCCAGTTTGCATTTTGCGCGTGTGTGTATATATATACATAGATATATATATATAAATATATATAAATATATAAATTTAAATAAATATTTAAGAAATATCAATTTTGTTTAAAATTAAACACTTGGTGACAAAAGCTTTCAGACATTCTTTCAAAACCGTGCAATCAAAGAGTATTTTACTTCAGAAATCTCTATTTTTTATTTTTATTTGTTTCCTAAAAGGTAAATTGAATGCCTCAAGAAGTAAGTTGGCATTTCTCTTACTTGGTTAAGATTTCTGTGGGATAAAGATGTTTTCTGATGTGTTGGAAATTTTCAAGTCTGTAATTAAATCAGTCATATTTTTATTCATATTTTGTATGTAATGCTTGCTATTATTTGCCGTTTTTATCCAATCAGCACTGATATACCGTGTTCACTTTATTGTCACAGAATGAAAATGTGCTTAGACTCTCCTGGGTGTAGAAAAGTACATCTTGATGATGTATCACAACTTTGCAAAAACTGCCAGTAGTAAGCTCAGCTTGTCATTATGCCGGCCATACATGGGTCGAAATTTGACTGATTCTTTTTTTTTCGTCCAAAAATCGGACCTAAGAAGAATTGGCCGATTTTCGCTTTGTTAGTGGGTCAATGGCACCAGCTGATTTTTGTAGTTCCTCCCCTTTTCAGTGATCAAGCATGTTGGAAAATTCGTAAAAATTACCGATTTTCGATTCAATGATGGTCAAATCGTACGATTGTTTTTCCGAAAGGAATATGTTCATGAGCCGTGACCTGGAAGAAACAGAGGTTTTGCATGTTACATGGGGTGACCTTTATGACTTGGTCGGCCGATTTTCAAAATCATTGATGGCACCATTGGATTACCAAGCGACCGATGTTTTCGATTTTCAGACGAAAAATCATTCGGAATTCGACCCATGTATGGCCTTCATAAGGCCTTGTATAAAGCTGGTGGTTCCTTACAGTCCTGGGTAACAGAGTGTGGTGACATAATTAGCTTCAGCAGAGATTGATTTCAGTGAAATTAACATTCTGAGACATGGTATTATGTAGGAGAATACAGCAGATGTAAGCAAATGTCAACTTTTCAACTGGTTGTGAACTGTAGAGGGCAGTCTAAAAAAAAATAGATGCACAATCTGGCCTCCTTTGGTCTTCTGTGCTGGCCAGCTTGTCCTTAAAGTGAAACTTTAGTCAGAAAATGAAGCCTGATAGATCACTTCAGGCTGGCCCCTTTTGCAGGTATAGCTAGGTAAAGCATTTAAAAAGAAGGCTTATACTGTTAAATCCATTAATACACTCTCACCCTGCTCTGCACATACTCAGTTGCTGTCTATATTTAGGCACTGTGCCATATTTGTAGAGGCCGATCTGCTGACAGCCTAAAGATTTAATGCTGGACTTCAGCAAAAGGGCAGCCTCTGGCAAGATGCAACAGCAATGCTGGAGGCAATTTACAGCACAATTTTGGTAGCATAATTTTTAATGTGGAAACTTTTGTTCCTTGCTAACGTTGTTTTGAGTAAAATTCCAATTTAAACATGAACAGTTTAGTCCTGGTTCACACTAAATGCAACTTTGAAATCGTGCAACTTCAAAGCTTCAGATCAGTGCGATTATTACCTCCAGATTTCACATTGGCTTGCAACTTCATTTAACAGAAGTCCGTGTAAGTTGAAATAAAATTGGAAAAAAGTAATGCAGGAACTATTTTTGAAATGGCGCTACTTTAACTGCCTGGGCTATGGCTGAATGGCGGACGGCAAAAACCCTTGTCCCTTCGGGTGGATGCCATATGGCTTCCTTTCAGGTATGCGCAGTTTGCATGCCAGCAGAGCGGCGCGATCTGTCACCGGCCGTGTACCTTGTACACGGCCGATGACAGATCTGTGTACCAGTCCCCTTGCCAGTACCATGTGACCTGCTGTGACCAAATACAGCAGGTCACATGACAGTTGTATACAATGGATGGTTTCCTTTCATGCTGTCCATTGTATACTGGTGTGTCTACCTGTGAATAGTCACAGCGATCACATGCACAAGCTGGGCCAGTCACAGCCCAGCTGTGTCATTTGATTAGCTGTGGCCAAATCACAGTTAAGGAAAAAAAAAATCCTGAATGAATTGATTTCATTCAGGTAAATGCTTGCTTATAGCAAAGTAATTATTTGCTATAAGCAAATTGTGTAAAAAAAAAAAAAAATAATAAAAATAAATAAATATATCTATCACTTCCCCAAAGTAGTACAATGTTACTATGGTAACAATATACTACTTTGGTCATAGTGAAATATGAAAAAAAAAAATCTTAAAAAAAAAAATGTACTAAAAGATAAAAAATAAAATATCAATTTTTTTTTTCGTCCTGTCATAAATGTCCCTGATCACCACCATGCCAGTTATATGATGACACTGTACTGCACTGGTGACAGTATGTAAAAAAAAAAAAAAAAAAAAAGTGAAAATCATTTTTTTTTTATTCATTTCCGAAAAATTATGACAAAAAAATTTCAACTTCAAAAAACTCGCCATGCCTCTTATGAAATACGTCAGACTGTCTACTTTGCAAAAAGGGGTCATTTGGGGATATCTGTACTGTTCTGACATTCTTGGACCTCAAGAAATTAGATTGGCTGTCTGTGCTTCAGGATTGATCAATTTTCAGATATATCCCATAGTTTGTGAACTCTATAACTTTCCTACAAACTAAATAAATACTGATTTGGGTTATTTTCACCAAAGACATGTAGCAGAATACATCTTGGCCTAAATTTATGAAGAACAATTATTTATTTGCAAACGTTTATAACAGAAACAAAGAAAAACGTGGGTTTTCTTTTTTTCCTTCAAAATTTTTGGTCTTTTTTTTGTTAATTTAGCAAGAAATAAAAACCTCAGTGGTGATTAAATACCACCAAAAGAAAGCTCTAGTTGTGTGAAGAAAATTATAAAATTTTAGTTTGGGTACAATGTTGTATGACCGCGCAATTGTCATTCAAAATGTGAGAGCGCTGAAACCTGAAAATTAGCCTGGGCAGGAAGGGGGTAAAAGTGCCCGGTATGGAAGTGGTTAAATCACACTGAAGTGCAATAGAAATAGATTAGAAGTATCTTCAGGTGCGATTTCTATCTCATGTCGCACTGGTGTGAACCAGGGCTTAAAGTAGAACTATAGGTAAACCATTTTGGATAGAGTGCTGGGGGGGATACAGTGAGGAACAGAAGTATTTGAACACCCTGCTATTTTGCAAGTTCTCCCACTTAGAAATCATGGAGGGGTCTGAAATTCATATTGTAGGTACATTCCCACTCAGAGAGACAGAATTAAAAAAAAAAAAATTCAGGATATCACATTGTATGATTTTTAAGAATGTATTTGTCTTGCACTGCTGAACATAAGTATTTGAACACCTGAGAAAATCTTTTAATATTTGGTACAGAAGCCTTTGTTTGCAATTACAGAGGTCAAACGTTTCCTGTAGTTCTTGACCAGGTTTGCACACACTGCAACAGGGATTTTGGCCCACTCCTCCACACAGATCTCCTCTAGATCTGTCAGGTTTTGGGGCTGTCGCTGAGCAACATGGAGTTTCAGCTCCCTCCAAAGATGTTCTATTGGATTTAGGTCTGCAGACTGGCTAGGCCACTCCAGAACCTTGATATGCTTCTTAC